ACATACGAACCAATTACAGGTTAGCAACCAATTGATTTTGGATGGTTATATACTGACTTAATATTTTAGTAGTACTGTATTTACCGTACGACATAATATTCACAGTTTCCACCGCATATAGAGTGGGGCGTTTCACATTCGTAACTCGAAAGGAGTCATCGTTCAGTACTTCTTCATGTTTAATTGTTTTTATGATTATAACTATGGTTTAAATTGTACCATTTCTAAAAAACTCAAAGCTCCTAGGGATACTAATTAGCTGTCTAAACCAATTTGATGGAGTTAAATTTAAAACTGCCCATTTGATGCCTAGAAATCAAACACTGTACTAAGAAGCCATATGCATCTCATTCTAATCACAAGTGGTTAAATGGATTTATTTACATCAGATGATTAATATTTGAAGCAACTATTGATTCAAGTTAACTTTATAGGATTATTTTTCGAACTATTAAGTTGATTCTTATTATTCTACCGACTAGTAGTATATTTGATCTAAAAGAAAATAACTTGAAGTGAATAAATAACAATGCCAAATTGTACATGATTAGTGGAACTAATTAATCATCATCACCATCATCATCATCATCATCATCATCATCATCATCATCATCATCATCACCATCATCATCATCTCATGCTCTCACTATTACTTACAATCATTTATCCAGATCATAAACAAATACAATAAAACGTGTTGATCACTTTGTATCCTTGTTACTTAGGCACATGTTAAGTGATGAACAGCATGGGGAGACCTATACACATGATCATAATTATTATTGTTTATAAGTTTAGCAAAACACTTGAAAAATTACAAGAAATAAAACATGATGATGATGATGATGATGATGATGATGATGATGATGATGATGATGATGATGATGATGATGATGATGATGATGATGATGATGATGATGATGATGATGATGATGATGATGATGATGATGATGATGATGATGATGATGATGATGATGATGATGATGATGATGATGATGATGATGATGATGATGATGATGATGATGATGATGATGATGATGATGATGATGATGATGATGATGATGATGATGATGATGATGATGATGATGATGATGATGATGATGATGATGATGATGATGATGATGATGATGATGATGATGATGATGATGATGATGATGATGATGATGATGATGATGATGATGATGATGATGATGATGATGATGATGATGATGATGATGATGATGATGATGATGATGATGATGATGATGATGATGATGATGATGATGATGATGATGATGATGATGATGATGATGATGATGATGATGATCTTTTCATGGTGAGCTGTAACTTTCTCAAAATCAAGCGATTATTCTTTAGATCTTAAACTTCTCTGAACGAATTTAATTTATTTTTCATTTGACCTTCTGGTGATTAGTGTCAATATTATTTTTGTCGATTGTCTTGTTACTTTCTGAGGTGATCTGTGGTGTTCGCTGTTTCAACCAGTCGATTTGATACTGTGAGTATTTTTGTTGGATTTCTGTTTGTACATGGACTGTTTTCCTCTTTTTGTAAATGAGGAGTCCCGAACGTATGATTCACTTCTTATTACTTAGGCTTTATGAATGTCGCGATATGGTAGTAACCTACCTGTTAGTTATAGCAAATAATTTTTTTCTCATTTATAATCTTCAGAATTGAGTCATTCTCTTGACATCAGTTGATAGAAAGCCTCAATTGTACATAAAAAATTCATAAACTCCTTTCAGAGTGTATGATGTAAGTCAAAAATACGCATACGATTGTCCCTTTGATTCCGATAAGACTAGACAGCCTTAGACTTTGAGAAGTTAAAGAGTAACTTTAATCTAAAGGCGTGCCGTGTTTATAACACCTCACCTAAGGTTTGATCTTGGGATTGTATATGATCCCATTTATGTAATATGTTTATGCTTGCTTAACCTATAATACCTTTCTATCCAGTCTGAAGCTGGAAATCCATGAGTTGAGTTATTAACCCACTGGCTTTAGTGTGAGAACTCTAGTCGTTAAGCCGTTGCCCCACTATTCATTTATAGTAAAACCGAACAGCACCTTAGAGTGACCATGATATGTTCAACATTTTAGCTGATAAAGAAGTAGAAAGACTTAATATACTAAGAATTAGGATCAGGATATGATTTTTAGAAGGCTCGCATTATAGCTTATATCAGTTCGTGTGATGAAAACCATAACATCAACCCATAATCCTAATTTCCATAATTATTTCCTATCGTATTTTGATAAATGAGCTGTGATCTTGAATCTACTTGGAGGTTCATAGTTGGCTCTGCAGTATCGTTCAACTTTGCCATCTTGATCTGAACCAGATGCCATCATTCTGGTTTTCATTTGGAGAAGAAAATGAATCACATCTTACGAAAGTGATTCAAGGAAGTATCAAGATGTATTTTCATTCTTAGAAAACCTTTCTCTCTTTGAATGAGTAGCTGAAAGAGAACCTCTGTGACTTAACGTACTATCTACTAACTTAATGATATACTTCATTCATGGGATCTTATTCCGTTTTCTTTTGGTAAGAATTTATGATCACTTGTTTTACTCACAAAGTTCTAATCATTGATTCAGTTGAGATTGGATATTTCTATGTCTTGCCTAATTCATTTTCTCTAGAACTGACAAACAGAACCGTCAGATGGAAAATTAAAAAAGGAAGAAGAATAACAGGAACAATTAAGCATTAATTTAAACTCATAAATCACGACTGTGTGAATTATATATTTTTTCCCTATCAGTACTATCATCATGGCAACAAGACTGAACTAGATTTATTTACTCATCATTGTTACTACTCTTCTTTTTTTATTATTTCACAGTTTCTCCATATTAGTTTACAATGGTATTAATAAAACAGTGAAATATTTTCTAATCATGTTCATCAATCCCTAACTGGTTAAATTCTTTGGCAAAAGAAAATATATAGAATCAGTTGTCAAGGTTACCTTTAATTATTGTTAGGCGTGGATATTTTCCAATTTGACTAGAAGTAGATTGATTGACTAATTATAAATAAACACTTAATTGATTTAATTACATGATACACAAGATTTTATTTGTATGTTGTATTGTGTTAAGCTCAACATCACTTGTAGCTCTTCCTAGAGTTACTATCGATCCCAAGCCCGGGTAAAGGAGGAGGGTTGGACATGGGGTCAGCAACCCCATCTCATAGAAGAAGATCTTGCTAAAAAAAACGCCAACTAGATTAAACCAATTAAGTTAAGCTTGATTATTAGATACATCAAGAAAAAGTATTGTTCTACAATATGAAAAACAGAGAAGTGATGACTGTCCACACAATCTATAACAGTACTCAGCGCTGACCAACTCAAACTATCCAATTTCAGCATAGATCCTCTGTGAGAAACTAAAACAAATAGCCTTACGCAAGTGTATATTAGCTTTTATTTACAATAATTCACATTGACGAATTGATTGCGATAGGGTATAAGGTGTAAATGAACAAGATGAGAAATAAATTAATTGAAACTATGTCGACATCAAATCAAATCCAACACATAAGAAATACATTTCAGTGTATGACAGATTAGATTGAAAGTCAAAGGAGTTCAACCATGTCAAATGTGAGGGGCAGTTATCCGACAACGGCGTTGGAATTCGACTGTGTAACGTCACAACTTGACTCAAGTTAGAAACGTAAAGTACTAGATGCCGTTGACTTACCAATCTAAAGTTTAAGCGCCAATCGCGAAATTTCAAGTTACCTGTTTCAATTCTCTATGGGTTGCAAAAGTGCACTACTGAGTGGTCCAAACTAAAACGAAACAACTATCCAGTGCTTCTTTGTCTTTAAAAGTAAATCCTTGCTACAAACTATGAACAAGATCGATAAGTAATAAATTACTAACTTCTTAGATAATTATCCATCTAGATTTCACTTCGCAATCTTTTCATTTGGTTAGTAACTAAACGTCAATTTTTTGTTTGAATTAACACAGATTCAAGATGAAACAACACCTAATGATCAATTGTATCTAACCATTTTCTTTTCAAAGAACATATGAAGTTAATCAGAAGAAATCATTAAGAATTTTCACTTACATTGAATACATTTATGTATCATTCAATTAGAATTCCACAACTGCCTCATAGTATACTATTTATGTTTGTAGAATGTAAACCTAACAGAGTTGCTCGTAAGTTAAACCAAAAAACAACAACTTTATACTCATGTACAAATATGAAAATAGCAGATGTAGATGCACACACACACACGTACGCATCTGCACTATTATGCTTATGTATATATATATATATATAGAGAGAGAGAGAGAGTGAGTTGTATACACATGCATAATAGACACTTTCACAGGGATTGTTACGTAAGACGCATAATAAGTATAGAGTATTACATGACCTTTTTAATTGGTAACTCATGTATACAAATTGCCATGTTAATTAGATAAAAATCAGTGAAAGTAAAGTTTATGTTTCATATCATCCAAAGATTATTTGTACTGAGCATACACACGCACACACACGCACACATACGTACGTACATACGATCATCTTAACTGAGGCATGTTAGAAAGTACCGAAATCTTTCCGAATTCACAATTCCCTCCAATATCTTTCATATGTTTATCAAACAAAATTAGTTATCAATTAATGAATGATGAGACACAATGTAGTTTTTTTGTTTGTTTTAATAGTGGAATAGAAAAATCATATGTACATTGTTTATTGTTGCCATGTGTGTGCATGTGCGTGTGCATGTGTGTGTGTATGTGTGCATACACACACGCAACTAAATGGAATACAACGATACAATTCAATCTATATCTACAATCAATTAAATTGTCAATAATCAAACAATAATTACAAGAAGGAGAAAAAAAAGGCATTTTTCTTTCAATTACTTATCCTAACAACACATTCATTTGACAGTATCATATATTGTGAAACTTTCTCCTCATTTTTTTTCTTTATTTTCTACATAGAACTTCCTTCAACGTGGATTTCAATCGAAACGACCAAAATCAATGGTAAAAAGTGAACGAAGAAAAAATGCTAAACAGTAAGTCATTTGTATCATCTAAATAGATTTTATATTCTTATGTATATGTTCATGATATCGATTTTTTTATACAATTTATGAATGTTAAGATGTTTTGCATAGAAACTAATAGTAGGTAATATTCATCATTAAGATTGAATTGTGTTATGTAATCAATAAAATTTAGCAATCATTGGACAGTTGTCTCCTGTTGAGGACGATAGATCCCCAAAGCTCATATTTTGTAGTTTCATCTTATCGATTAAATGATTAAATAGCAGTCAATTGATGAACTTATCGATTAAATCTTTGAATGGCAGTCAATTGATGAACTTATCGATTAATGTTTAAACATTTTACCAATAAATATTTGTATAAATACGCTTGATTTGAGCGCTTGATTTGACCTGACTTGACCTGGTATCTTCTGGTTGCCTGTAGAATACACTTCTACATCTTACCAAGACTTCTTGATCGAGTTAGCTGAGTGGCGGACAACGGACCAGGATAGTCTATCGAGATTATGAATCCCTTGATCCGATCGATAAGTCACTGTCCTCTAATCGGCGTCCCTTTGAGATATAACATTTCCCCTAGTAAATAACCACCGTTCAACCTATTAATTTATGTAATAATAAACATCATTTAAAGTGATCTTTGAAAAACAAAAAAACATCTCATGAATGATATAGTCGTTTGAATATTAGTGATTTACTTCTGGATGAATTCTCGAGGTTCTACATGGTAGTAATGAACTTCATTCTTAAAATTCCATTGACAATTAATTGAATTTGGAAATCATGGGATTAAGTGATAGTAAATAGGTTTGATGACCTTTAGTATAATTCATTATATAATCATCCATGTGTACTGTTGATGTGTCTAATGTATGAGCGACACAGATGATAAGTACTCTCTACTTTGTAATTTATCCCAACTGAAGGAAATCCATCACAAACAACATATACACAATTCATAACTTCGCTTATCTTTGTAGTCTCATCAGCCCTTATGGTCCGATGTGTGACGAAATCTCAGCACGGATACAGAAGGCTCGACTAGGATGGGTTTACTGCGCAGCAGTTCGTTCCGTCCTACTTTATGGCAGTGAAACATAGCCGGTAAGAGTAGAGGATATTCGTAGGTTACTAGTATTCGATCATAGGTGTTTTCGAAACATTGCTCGTATATCCTGAGAACACCGAGTAAGTAACGCAGTTGTTAGGAAACGGGTACTAGGTAAGGATGGCAAATCGATTAATGAAGTAGTGAAACATCATTAGTTGAGATGGCTGGGACACATGTTACGTATGTCCAACCCCCGAAAGCCTCGGCGTGCGATGCTTTATGATGTAGGAGCTAGGGGCGGTTAGACCAAAACATGGCACGAGTCCATGAAGTCACTGACAAGTGGACTGAGTCATGTTGATAGGTGTAGAATACCTGGTTGGGATCCGCGAGATGATAGCAATCGATGGTTAGAGACCCTGAATGACATGACTCAAAATCGTTTGCAATGGCGCAGGTGCATACACTCTTTGTGTTCTCTCAAATTCTAATTTTCTGAACTCTTCATGTCCCTTTCTTTTCCTCTTTCCAAATTTATTTCACTGGATTATACTCTTTAAATAACATCTTCAAACCTGAATGTTCCCGATTATTGCTTACACTCTCACTACCTCTACCACTACGTGATTTGAATTGACAATTGTATCTCTGTGCTAATGTGGTATGGCAACTGGAACTGATGTATGTACGTACGAAGTTTTACGTTGTTACTGACTGACTGGCACATTTCGTACCGAAAATGATTTATTTTTACTGAACTACTGACAATTGATGAAATCGGTAGTGAACTTGAATTTTGTTAAGTCATTGTAGAAGTTTTGTGTTATTAATTCCGATAGTATTTGTAATGACAAATACGCTTTGTGGTGACAAAATTAGGTATAATTTTTTTTCCCAATCAAGAGCTTACGACTGGTTCATTAGAAAATAACAGACTGTGATTAGTTGATTTGGATATTCAAAACGTTGTCACCTGGTATATCTTCGTTGAACTGAGAGGACTGATTTGTAGGAAATAAAAAAACCTTCAAGAATTATTGACATTCTGCACTACTGCTACTGATTGTGATAAATTTAATTGATTATGATTATGATGTGAAGCTCAGTCAGGTAGTGAATACTTGCAAACTGTGCATAGACCAACTCTTCGGTTGATAATATATTTTAGTCTGACTCACCTATCTCACTGAGCCCACCGGACATCGAAGCAGCATACACACCTTCCTATAGATATCACTCCACTAGCAATACAATGCATCAAAATCACCATCAGACAAATCAAGGGTGGAAAAACAGCAGCATCTGACAATTTACTTGTCGAGGTGAGTGGTGGTTGAACATACTCAACAAATGTCCTAACAATTTTAGTCGATAAACATTTACCACCTCATCAGTCAATTTGCTCTACTCACCTAGTACTATATTCGTAACCAGGACATTGCTTACTCTGTCGTCCCAAAATACACGAGCAATGCTTCAAAGACACCTATGATCAGATACTATTAACCTAGAACAGAGCGAACTGCTGCTCAGTAAACTTGCCCTTTGATCGGAAGACGGATATCTCGCCTACTCCATAAGTGACGCAAGTTCTAAAAAGCCAAGTGATCTTTGAGTTTGATTGCTTCACTCCCTATCATTAATTCAGGTGATGACGCAAGCTAATCCTGAAATAACGTTTTAAATTTGGTGGGAGAGAACTACATTCAAAAGATGCTTGCATTGTTGTTTCGCTAGTGTCCTCACCAAACAAGTGAATCTGCTGATAGATCAATGCTATTACTATTCTTGACTCATTGCTAACACAGCTCAGTTTAAGGGCTAGCAACTTTATGGACTGATCCATGTCATCATCTGCTTATTGTCATTTCTCCAATCTACATCTATACTAACCATAAGTAACATTTCGGTAGATGAAATTTTACAATATCACTATCCAATATACAAACTTTTCGTAGGACCCTAGAATTAAATCTGTATTCCTCACTTTACAGCTCTATTACATATAAGCAGTACTGCAAAAACAATTATAGTCAAATAATAATAAGCTAAGTCATGTGTTCTTCCTTTAAACATTGGAGAAGATGTTTGAGTTGAGTAGGTGAATCGTTACTTTAAAGACTTGATTACTTACAGCCATTATTATTATTCTAATTCTAATCTGTCATGGCGTCGGTGTATACACTCTCTGTCTTCCTTTAAATCGTGAGATTAAGATCGCTTTATATTTTTCTTTCTATCAACTAATTCTTTCTTCCTGTATCATATCCTTAAATGCAATCTTTCTTTTATACATTGCTACAATTGAAGTGACTACCTCTATGAATCTGGTGTTCATCTTGTTATGCTAATGAGGTATGGCCAATTGAACCGATGCATTTATATGCCTTGTCTCACATTGTAGTTGATTGACTGACTGACTGAATCTGTTATTATGCTTTCACTATGTTTGATTATTCGTATGTAACTTAACACTTAATATAATAAGCTTCCTTGTATTCTCAAGTATCGACCTAGATTCAAATGACTTTCTTAGTCTTTGTCAAGTTGTCTTAAACTCAAGTACAATCATAATTATACTACTTAATTGAATGAATCACTATAATAATAATAATCAATTAAATGGTTAGTTATTTGCTTGATCAATTAGTTGATTGATAGAGTAAAGGAATGCCAGTTTACTTTTTCTGAAGAAAAAAACCCGGTTATAAGCATATCTTTTCCAACTGTTTAATAATACTGGTATCATTTTAGCTTCTAGCTTATGTATGGTATATCTGTATTCGTATGAATGAGAGCATGTTTGTGAGAACGTTTGTTTGCAGTTGATGCAGGACAGATAGCTTGTCCAGTTCCCAGAACTTTTTTCGCAACCAGTCTGTTATGCCGAAATTAATTCTGGAACAGATTGACATCTGTATCGACTGGTTGTTGCGTCTTCACAAGATAGAATCACCAGTCAGATGACTGGGTATACTGATATGTGAGAGGGTGGAGACGATTTGTAGCTCAAATGGATGATGAAGTGTTCGAACACTTCACTTCTACCTGAAGTCTGTGTTGATGATGTTGTTCAGAAGAACGATGAAAGCTCCACAACCAAATCATCTAGCTCAAAGAACAAAGCTTCACCAAATATTGATATGTTTTAATAAGTTTGTGGTCGTCTCGGTAATTGTGGCACAACTGTGAAGGTGGGTATGTAGCCAAACCCAACTAAAAGTACTCTATTGACTCAACTAACCAATTCTCCATTATTTTTGTCATTTTCAACAGCTAACATTGTGCAGATTATATTTTCACCTTAATTTTAACTATTATTGATCTCAGGTGGTTATGTACTGTCACCTGAACAGTTATCGTTTACATAATGTTAACTGTGATAGAATGGAAACTTAGTTGTATGAATTCTACCGTTACTTTCTCAATTTAGTCTACTGTATTATTGATACCACCAATCATGTTGATATAAACTTGAAGTGTTGTCTAAATCAATGTCATTCATATGTTATGATAAGAAAACAAACAATAACACTAGCCACAATTAGGAAAAAGCCAGATAAGAGTGAGTGACTAGTTATCTATAAAATTTATTCAGAAGGATTTAGAATTTAACCAGATTGCATTTGAGAAACTGATCAACTGCATTCCTAAACATCAATGGGAAGATACTAAGTGAATCAAACTTCACCTCATTGCACAAGCAAGTGGATATTAGGAATCAGTAGCTAAGTGAATAACGCGATGGCGTTTGAAGCGAATAGTATTGATTTCGTGTCCCAGAGTGAACATCAATTCCCAGATAATGGTACATTCATCTGACGAGTCTCAAATAGGATAAAACATGCGTCCTGGATTCCATTGCTAGCCACTATCCATCTTTGCTTATAATGCTTGTAAATCAAGGCAATATCGAGGCAATACGCACAATATGCACATAAACCAATACGAGACTGATCAATTTCAGTCCTAAACATCAATGGAAAGACTTAAGTAAACAATACCAAGTGAACTTAGATTGCATTTTTTTACATGTCCAAGCCTTGTGATAGTGATAAAAGCATTTTTGTCATATGAATGTTATGTGAACCATTGCCTCCCACTTCCAGTCCTATCAACAGCATCTATATTTTTTTCCACCTTGAGAGTCTGGACTTCATAGATCTGATTACTTTATATTTGCAGTTGTTGACATTTCCATTCTGCAATTTCAGGTGGAATGTTTTACAGAAATAATGACTGCCTTTAGCCTATTCAGATCACGAAAATTAGTGGACATGTTTGTAGGTCAGCCTTTTCTCCTCACTTCTCTACCTTACAGATTTAATATTTATTTCATGTCAGAGACTTGTGTACTTACAAAGACATGCACATAGATCAAGCATATGCACAGACATTCGTATTGTACTTGATTTGGCTTTTCAAATTTTTTATTGCATTTCCAAGTGACGACACAACTTAAATGAAATGAAGTCTAGTTTTGTTGTGTGAAGTCATACTGATTTTGTTCTTGTTAGTAAATTCTGAATGCATCAAAAATTGCTGATGATATTGTGTTTTTAAATGAACACTGTTGATGAATACCAAATTAGAATGAAAATCACTATTCAATGTCTCATAGATTTTGGCAGTTTTTCAGTTTTATGATGACACTCTATGAAAATAGAATCTCACGCGCCCCCTCTATCACCCACTCACTTGTACGTTCACTCACTTACTTTCCTATTCATCTAATAACTCGAATAGTTCTATAGAATGTGAAGAGTTGACTTAAGCTGAATTCCAAGCATAACATCTTAGCTGTTCAGTAGCTTTGGAAAAGTCGATTTAGACACCAATGACCTGGCACTAAATCCATGTAGGATCTATTTTCACTTTCATCCAGGTGTTACATTAGATATCATTAACATTTTCTTCAATTATCAGAATCTGATATGCCACTCATAGTGGTCCAGTTTCAGCAATTAAATTGATTGACTTACTAGCTAGGGTTTAAGATCTGGGTGTAATCCTATCTGACTGATCTCAACTGATGATCATTTCTGTGTACAAAAAGGAACTAAAATCATCCTGAGATAACCGGAGAGAAATTACGCTGACTAATATATTATGTAAAATATTAATCTCCATGATCATAAGACTGGTTTCAGACCAACGTTTGTATTTATCGATCAAATATTTATGCCTCAGGCTTTGGGAAATAGGCATGGTTACTGAAACCTGACAAGAGTTGTATTTCATGACTTTAAGGCACTATTCGAATGCATTAGCTTGCATGCTTTGTGGTGGTTTATCATTAAGAGGTGTACCGTATAAATACATGAACCTCGTGAAGACTTTGAATCGGAGCAACATTGACCAAATCAAAGCTTTTAAAGAACAATGGTCGAAACTATCAATATTAAGTAGGGTTTGTCAGGGTTTCCTACTATACATATTTTCATTTACCATACATATCATCTCAGAAATAACATTTTCTTTCTATAACTTCAAATATTGATCTTTAGTCCAGAGGTTCATCTATCGCCTGAGAGTACTAATCAATTACTTTTGATTGATGACACATACTACTTATATCTGTTGACGTCAGTAGTACACACACCATAATAGTACTAAAATAATTCCCAATATTTATCAGTTAGAGAAGAAAAAGACTGTTATTAAACTGGTAAAATGACCATCATTTCGCACGCTAGACCGATAGGTCCTGAGTTCGAACCTCGCGAGGCAGACATGTGGATGCGCAGTGCTGAGGAGTCCCACAATAAAACGAAACGGCCGTCCAATGCTTCCAGGCTTTCCATGGTGATCTGGCTTCAATTAACTTATGATCTCAACTATCAAAATTACTATAATACCCACAAAAACCCCTTCTGATAGTATTTTCTTCGTTTAAAAAAAAGTATAAACCATCGATTATTGATCATGATTTTGCATAACGCATACATCTTAAAATAACTTTATTGATAGTTAGAAGGTCTCATGTTATGTAATATACATACATCTATATGTCATATATATATATATACATGAATGTAATCAATAGTCATTTGTGATTTTGTCTGTTTTAAGGAATTTCATCAGCAACAGCAACAAAAAATTCATGAAAATATTTTTAAAGATAACAACCATTAAACAGTTGTATTTTGTGTGTGTGTGTGCTTGTGTGCTTGTGTGCACTTCTAAGTGTCAATTTGATACATAATGATATAGCATCAAACTAGTAACACTAATTTTTCTCTATGACATCATCATATGGATTAGTTCTTCTTTTTTCGGTATCAATTCATAATGTGAAGAAAATATTAAAATTATACAGAATGTTTAAGAGTCAATAATAATGTAGATTACACAATTATTTATGAGAAATATAAAGTAAGATTTCATAATGTGATTACAAGTGTTAGTAATGTAACGAAAATAAAGAGAAACATTTGCCAGTTGCTATGCTCTATTATAGGACCCCTCAATAGAGTAAAGGCCTGAACCCGATGGTGACCAAAGTCTAGACTGTCGAGTTCCGAAATGATCGTTTGCATAGCAACGAAAGTTATACTCACGACAGGATTAAATTCCATGTGTCGTGAGTTGTCACCACAACTTCAAAAACTCAGTTTATTATAGTTTTAGTTGAAGAGTTTTCAGAGAATTGGTTTAATTTTCATGTTTCATTTATCACAGACAGTATTAGACGATAGATTTATGGTATATTGTAAACCTACTGAAGTTGAAAATAGGAACGATTATTGAATTTCATTTCAGTGATTCAGAACTTTTCATAAGGTCGGGAAGTTCTAGGTTTGAAACTTGACTGAATCTTGAATGTGCATTGCGTAGAAATCTTATAATAAGATCAAATAGTTCATCATTGCTTACTAATTTTACATTAATCCAATTAAGTTTAATCTGTTACAAATATCACTTCCAACTTAAACTGATTTTTACAATGTCTGTCATTAAAGACTATGTTCTACTAAAGAGAGAAGCGGATGAATGATAAAAGTTTCAATACAAGACTACCAAAATCATAATATGAAACGAGTAAAGACTGATTATTCAAGTGCGAATAATAAGAATTGCCTTATTTATTTATTCATTTGTTTTATGACATACTCCTTTAGGATGCTAAAGATAATCTTCTTGTCCGTAATCCCTATACTTCCCACTATATGTAGAAGATGTGATTAAAGTTTATTGAGTGAGTAAGACAGAAGAAAAATTCTGTATGTTTATTCGTACTTTCATGCGGACATCCACTCTTTATGTTCTCCCAAATTCTAATCTTCTGAATTCTTCATGTTCCATTTTTTTCTCTTTCTAAATTTATTTCACTGGATTATACTCCTTGAATAACATCTCCAAACCCTAATCGTTCAGATTACTGCTTATATTTTTGCCACCTCTACCACTACAGGATTTGAATCGACAACTGCATCTCTGTGCTAATGTGGTTTGGCAACTAGAACTGATGTATGTACACACGAAGTTCTACGTCGTTGCTGACTGACTGACTGACCGTACTTCCATAATGAAAGTAGTTGAAAATGAAGTTTCATCATATGTGGGGTTGTGAAATTAAAATATTAGTCTTATCGCCCTGTTTTACCTGATTGTTTTCAGAGGGCTGTAATTTATTATCTTTAACTATTCTCATGTATTTATGTCTAAAGTTTATACTAGATAAATTAGTCCTAGATGGACTGAAATATATCTTCAGCTGAGGTACGAACTATTTGGTCGATACATTTTAACTACTAAAATCATTAAATAGTAGTGTGTTATTGTTTCATAATGTTTCTAGGCCTAATTCAATTTAGTTCTTTCATAATGTGCAAATAATCTTGATAATCTCAAAAATAGGGAGTACTGGACAGAAAATTCGTTCTAGCATGCAACTGATCACCAGTATCCAACAATGTACTTCTTTTTCACGACCATAGTCTTTACGTATTTCGACAATCTTGAAGTCAGTGTTTTTTATAACAGCCATGAATTGTCGACTAACAACTGAGGGTGGATCACCATGTAGTTTGTAACAATAAATATATTCATAAAATGCTCAATATTTTTCTCGTAGTCAGTACTATACCATATACTCATTTTCATTGCATTAGTCTTTCAGGTTCCGCCTCCAATTCTGATCAGAATCTTCCAAGATCACCATCAGTTATCAGTTCTCACAAGGCGATTGTATCTCTCGGAGAACAAATTAGGTTGCCATCAGAACTATACAGTGTGTTTCAAGTGAAACCTACAAAGTTTGCTTTGACATCTGGCAAAACAAATCTCGAAACTACTGACGATGTTAGCCATCTAGTCCAAATATGTAATGTTGATCCAAGTTTGATTGGAAGTAACTGTAAATACTACTTTCAAGTAAGTTAATTGTTTATTTGTGTAACTCTACTTTAATTGATGTTACTACAATCATTATCATATGGATGTATCGTATTCATGCATGCTTGTAGACTAATACAGTATGAGGAACAAGCAACTATGAGACTGAGTCTATAAATTAGAAGGATGAATATACTCTATACCAGCTCTTTGTGTACATCGGTGTACGATTACGTTGAAATTGTAGCTGACTGGTTTGGATATTTAGATTAACCAGTCAATAGGCATTTTGGGTCACCAATTTTCCAATGAAAGTATAGCCATTCTTTAGTTCAGTACATAAATATCTGGCTTAATTTTGTTATGTAACGTGTCTTTAGTATGAATACCCTACAAAATTGTATCTTGTCAACATCCAAGATAGATTTATATTAGTTAAAAGGATTTATCTTACTTTTATGAAGATTACACTAAAGGACGATCGTCATTTATTTCTACTCTTAACGATGGTTGATAGTGACTATAAACATTTAATTGCTTGATCTGTAGGACCCCGATCAGCGAGCAGTAGTGGAACGATAGATTCTAGTTGTATATAACTGCTCCATGTCGTAAACTGCTCCATTCTCCTTTCTTTCTACCAATTTTGAGCGTCGGTATATAATGCAAGATTCGTAAGTCGCTGGTATGACATGTCAAATTCACCGAAGTCGGTATTTTAAGATGGTGACAATAATTGAACTATTATTACAGTTCGCAAATAAATTGCTGAAAGTTGATACTACTGATCTGATGTTGCCACCAGATGTGAGAAACCGTTCGAAGAAAAGTCGCATAACATCCTTAACTTAGACAGGCCATGTTTTATAAGTATAGAGCAAGGCTGATTTCACCGACGCATTGTAAATCTGACTTTTGACGGTCAAATTAACATCGTAACAATGTCAAAGATGATCAATTTTGGTATAAACCGCTCTGATATACTCTAGACACAGATTATTCTCATCTGGCACCCTATCAAACAGCACTCACACAGCTATCCAGATACACTAACTTTTTGACTATTTCTGATGGCTCACTTAAAAAATAACTGTCGGGACTTGCTCCTACAAGTCTTGCCAAAGTACATGCTATATTTACAGACATTGATTCCCAACTGATTAATTGAGATTTCCATAGCTCACTGCTTAATAAAACAATATTATTCGTACACTCAAAATCGAAAATCTTTTCTTTAAGTAACAGATTTACATTGCCAGTGCCTACTCCCATCAGAGCTGTCTCCAGACGTCATCGGTGGAAAAGTTGAAGAGGAATGATGAAATTGAACAAAGCTGCTTTAATTTCACTTTCTGAATGGAACAATGGACAGAGGCGGTTGTAGTGGAAGTATCCAAACACTTAACAAAAGATGGAAATACGACTACCTCATCCCTATATTACACGGTATTCAATGGATTAGAAATAATGAGGAAAAGATCCCTACTTTGATAATTTTAAGGAACCTTAAACCTAGCTCGGTTTGGAACGGAACATACAATCGGTTTGTTAGTATCAATCCAATTAGACAGATAGGACTCCACCATCGATGGCACCATTTATTTTGAGAGCATCTTTAGAAATATTGAGATCACATATATGATCTTGATTGACGATCAGCATATTCATCACTTTAGTGTACTGAGGACCTGTGTACGAAAGTAAATTGTTCATGAGGCGAATAGGTCGTTTTTAGAAATCTCTTGACAGATATGTTTTTATTATCAGAATGGGTTTTGTGGAGATTTTTAGAAATTTCACAAGTTGAAATCATGAGTCAATTGAAGCTAGACCACCATGGAAAACCTGGAAGCACTGGACGGCCGTTTCGTCCTGGTTTGGGAGTCCTCAGCAGTGTTCTTCATTAACATCATATAGTTTATTGAACCTATATATATGTTTAAAATCTGATTTTCAAGCTTCTTCACAATTGTTTGAATTCGTATTATGTAATGAAAAGACGAAGATCATCAGAATGAACATGATATATTTGTGCAATATATTATGAACAATCTGATCATGCACAGTTGTTAAGATTACTTATGTATGAGAAATAAGAGGTCGAATAGATAAGTGGAAAATAAGAGGAGACTAGGATAATAAGGAGAACAATGTGAAACATGTCACGTTGGGAAATAAATCAATATTAGCAGGGTAAGTTTATTGTGAGAATGAACTTTTTGAATGCATAAAGGGGACGTTCTTAACAAGTATTTGTGGGATCAGATTCTTCGAAATGTATTGAGCTAATATACAATATAATCCTGATAATTTCCGTCTCCTTACTAAATTATCCAAATTTGCCAAAGGAACTAATTGTTTTAAAGTTAGTTGGTCGTTTTTCTACTTTCTAAAGGTTATGTCTCCATCCCGAAGAATGATCAAGGACCCAACCATGTGCCTTGATAGTCCACAAAGGAAAACTGATAATGTCCAATGTTCCTGTCTAGAGAACAACGATGATTTCTCAGCTATGAACACACCAAACCTCCTTCGAACTGTCAGTCATTCTCAGGGTAACGTAGGAGAAACTGTCAATATTCCCTTTGTGATTCACAATTATTCGTGTCAGTCAGCTTTGGAAAGAGATCGATGGGTACAATAGTGAGTATATATATTAATTGAAGTTTAAACAGACCAATTTCCATTTATTTTTGTCATTACATTTTTCTTCTTGATTCAAAGTTAAGGACAACAAATCCATAAATCTCATACTGATAATAATCATGTGCTCACTAGTGACTAGCTTTGAGAAGTAATTTTCGAAGTTCTTATCGGGAACCGTGACAAGTGGAGGTAATCTGCGTCGTGTGAGGCAGTTACCCACTGAAGATAATCGGAGCAATATCGTGGCATGGTTGAAGTTAGACAATAACACCGTTGGATACTGACTCAGTGATCTAGAGTTTAAGCGTTTGCACGCGAAACTGATTACCCAGGGCCCGAGTCCCACAGGCGGGATCGTGGATGAGCGTTGCTGTGTCCTATACTAAGGCGAGACGGCTGTTCAGTGCTCTTAAGTTTTCAGTGGTGATCTAGGTCAGACCAACTGGTGAATTCAACTGTGAAGACAACACGAAAGTTTAAATCACTTCCAAATGATTGAACTTTTATATTAATTGGTTCAGGCAGTCAATTTGCACATATTGTTATCAGTTTGTTTACAGATGATGAAAGTTTAAAAACACTTTTGATGAAGTTTGTATGGACGAACCAATCACGTATAAGATAAAAAGTCTCAGATTTTGGCGCGAAATTCACTCATCCATTTTGGTTAAATAAAGGTTTGGTGTTGTAGCTGATGTCAGTTCGTTGACCTTAGCCATCAATTGTCAATCATAATTCTAATTCCATACACACGTTTATAACCCTCATTCAGTTCTGGTTAGTAGGTAGACACATTCAAGGTCAGTTTAGGGTCACTCAAAGGTCGTCCATAAGTTAGTCTCAGCAAATCGTCATCCACCTGAGTTACAAATCTTCTCCACATAAGAACATTGAAATTCAGGAGGAAATTGGACGGTAAATGACTAATTCCTGTTGAAGTGATAGTTTGAGTAATAGTAACCAAGATTTGAATATTTTTTCTTGGCAAACCAAGTCTCTCTTTGTTATGGTATCAGGGCTATTGTCGAAATCGTCATCATTAAATGAATTATGTTAATTATCCAACATGTAATTCTATTTGACTGATTGGTTATATAAGTAACCTTGACGTGAATAATGCGGACCTTCTGAGATGGCAAACCCTCTTCTACAACCAATAATCAACACAGAATTCAAAGTAATAAAACTTACGCCCACGCGAAATGACACATGTTGATCGTATAATAAAAAAGAAAAGAGATAGACGACAGACAAAGAGCAAGCACTCTATCTATTCATTTGGATAGAGACACAGGTAGAGTAGACATATCAAATTCTAAATCATTTCAACCAATCATATATCAGAATGAATTCCATCAGAAATCGATCGATAAATGTTATGGCTCCATATTTCAAACTCGACTCGTATATAGATTGACAATTCTGTGCCTCATTCGAAATGTCTGTGTGTGTATGTGTGTATGCGTATGCGTATTTGTGTGAGTCATAACATGTGTAAAATCGATTATATCCGATAAGTGGTAGCATTTAAATTTGTTTAACGGTAGTGGATTTAGTCAATGTGACTTGTTTATATTTATATTCATGAAATGACAATCTATATGGATTAAATATATTACCACAATTCACATAATGAATTTCATTGTATAGAATAGTTGGTCTCTATACTTCTTTTTTTGATAAACCAACTAACTTATCCATATTATGATGGATCAATGTTTTCGTAGACTTAGAAGCCTTTCCACTCCTAAATTGAAAGATGACCGATTATATAATAATAATAATAATAATAATAATAATAATAATAATAATGATGATGATATTCAATATTCAATGCCACCATCAAAAAATCGAAGTGAATTAGCTTTAATGGATTTACATCAATCATCTGATTTAATTATAGTTTCTAAGCCAAATGTTCATTCATTGATAAAACTTGGAAGAAACCATGATTATAAAGAGAATTATGGGAAATACTTAAATTTAACAACAATACAAAAACCAATTTTAGATTATCGTTTTACACCACCATTAAATAGATCATTGATCTCGTGAGTTTCATTTAATTTCTACAAACTATTTATAGTCTATTCACTCACTATTAGCGACAAAAATTGTTGAAATGGCATTCTACTTATTAATTTTATAACAGTTTTTTTTTAATATCACAAGGGTTTTTCTGGATATTGTAGTAATTTCAATAGTTGAGATTGTGAGTCAATTGAAGCTAGACCACCATGGGAAATCTAGAAGCACTGAACGGCGGTTTCATTTTATTGTGGGACTTCTCAGCACTGTGCATCCACGTTTTCGCCTCGCGAGATTTGAACCCCAGGACCTATCAGTCTCTTACGCGAGTGCTTAACCTCTAGTTTTTCCTTCACTTTTCATTTATCTAGTCACGAATAATTGCTATCGCCGCTTGCTAAGTTGTCTTTTATTTGTTTGTAGAGGGCATCCATGTACAGACTGTTCACAGTTCGATATGATATGAAACCATTTCATACAGTGGGTAAATAAGTGGGGAGATAATTTGAAACATATATAATGACATTTCTCGACTGACCAATGATCAAGCCGTATTTGGTAATCAAATGCAGTATCTTGCACTGTACTTTGAGCTACACCTTTGTGTATATGGGATCCAGTGGTACTAACAAACTATATGGACTTAATTACGTCTAGACAATTTCGTATCTGTAGGTGAATGGGTGGAAATGAATTACTTTACTCAATATATGCTCTGTAGTTCATCCAGATAGTGGTTCGAAGTATTAAATCGAAATAAATTCCTTCATAAGATTTGGACGAATCAAGAGCCAGAGTTGGTATAATATACGATAAATTTTTAATTCTATAGTATTACTCATACTGGTACATACAATCCAGTTGTGATGGCTGGGACACGTGTTATGTATACCCAACCACCGACTACCCCGACGTATGGTGTTCTCTGGTGTAGGAGTAGGTTGGAAGAAAGCTAGGGGCGGCCAGACCAAAACATGGCACAAGTCCATGAAGTCACTAATAAGTGGACTGAGTCATGTTGATAGGTGTAGAATACCTGGTTGGGATCGGCGAGATGATAGCAACCGATGGTTAGAAACCCTGAATGACATGACTCAAAATCGTTTGCAATGGCGCAGGTGCATCCACTCTTTGTATTCTCTCAAATTCTAATTTTCTGAACTCTTCATGTCCCTTTCTTTTTCTCTTTCCAAATTTAGTTCACTGGATTATACTCTTTAAATAACATCTCCAAACACTAATCTTCCCGATTATTGCTTATACCCTCACTACCTCTACCACTACGTGATTTGAATTGACAATTGTATCTCTGTGCTAATGTGGTATGGCAACTCGAACTGATGTACGTACGTACGAAGTTTTACGTTGTTACTGACTGACTGACATACAATCCAGCAAGGTTAAGTGATACTATATTCAAAAACGATTCATCAGGAAATGGGAAATCTTTTGACTGATAGGATTGTCATTTATTTTAAACTGAGAGTTTTGACTAAAGACAATATAATGAATGTAGTGGCAATAACATGGATTCATTTTATTTCGTTGCTTTTCATCTGCTTCTTACAACCGTTTTTTTATTTATTTATTAATCAGTGCTTTTATGTTTAACTTGTTCCTAAAGTTCATTCATTAATGTAAGAATTATATGTGCATTGTTTGACTACTAATTCCAACATTTTAAACTAACATTGGTTACCATACATGAATGGTTGTTTAAAACAAGGAATAGTATATCTTACATTTTCTTTACACCTGAAAAAGCTTAAATGTAAAGTTAATTCTGATTGTGTTGTATACAATACTATCCACTACTATACGTTATTTTAAAGTTGTCTCCACCTCGAACAATAATGACTAGCCATCTAACTCTTCCTCTTGGACTTGTTAAAATAAGATTAGTTGCTTAGTTACACAGTGAATGATTTTCCATGTAGACTAGCTTAATTATATGTAAATACTATTGTCTAGTTTCAAAATCATTCTCAGTTTTCATTCAGAAGAATTATCACTCTATGTCAGACTAGCTAATCTAATTCCAAATCAGACTATGAAATTAAAATGTGGGTTGTATGAACAATGAAATGAGAAGGGTTTTTGTGGATATTATAGTAATTTATTGGCTGAATTCATGAGTCAATTGAAGCTAAACCACCATGGGAAACCTAGAAACACTGGACGGCCGTTTCGTCCTAGTACGGGACTTCTCAGCAGTGCGCATTCACGATCCCACCTCACGAGATTCGAACCCAGGACCTATCAGTATCACGTGCGAGCGCTTAACCACTGAACGGTGGCACAGCTTCGTGGATTAGTTGAAGTTAGACATGAACAGTGTTGGGTGCCGGCTCAGTTGTCTAGTGGTTAAACACTCCCTCGCGAGACTGATAGGCCCTGGTTTCGAATCTCGCGAGGCGGAATCGTGGATGCGCACTGCTGAGAAGTCCCGTACTAGGACAATAGGGCCATCCAGTGCTTCTAGGTTTTCCATGATGGTCTAGCTTTTTATTGACTCATGGATTTAATTACTAAAAATATATATAGCTGTCTACCTCATTTTAAATCTCAGTTCCTTGCTGTGTCAGATCAAAAGGCATAAAAACAGATCCTTTTAAAGTTTACTTCCATGTGATACTGAATATGTTTAATGAAAATTTTAGAGAAATCTAATTAATCTGATATGTTTCCATATATTTAATTTTTATTCGGTTATTAACGTCAACACACTTGCAAATTTATTTTTAGCTTCACTACAAATTAATGAGATGTATTTGGGATGAAATAAGATTTGCAAGATAACACTAATGATTATCAATAGATCTTTCAATTCACATTAAAGTGGTTCTCTCACTTTATAGTTGGTTCGTTTATTTACTAAAGTTGTTAAATAGTGACTATTTGAACTTAATAGTTCAGTGGATAGTACGTTGGCGTTTCCAACAAAAGCTACTGAGTTTGAGCCTTTGTGTGAATATTGACACTGATTTTAGTTAGTTTCAGTTGATGAGTCCCAAATAGTATGCCTTGAATCACAATGATAGTCACTATCAAATTTTAATAAAAAAGAAAAGTAAGTTATTAACTTTTGATATGGACGTGGATTATGATTATAGTTGAGATAAAATCTTGGTTACGCAAATTGTGTAATTCAGTTTGCTAATCTTATCTCAGTCTGTACAATGTTATAGTCAAAACAAGTACAGCTTAATGTTTATTGAATCATACTTTTCTGAAAAATAAAATTTAATTAGTACAGGAAAAACTAGTATAAATCACTCTGAGAAATAGCGGGGTATATGACAGTTTTAATTGTCATGATTAGATGTAGTAACTGTGTTAGACTATTGTTTATCTACTACTATTTACTTACGCCTGTTATTCCCAATTCAGCATAGGCTACCGACCAGCATTCTCTAATCCACTCTGTCCTGGGCCTTCCTTTCCAGTTCTATCCAATTGTTGTTCATTCTTATCACATCTGTCTCCATTCCTCGGCATAATGTGTTCTGTGGTCATCCTCTTTACCTTTGGCCCTAGGGGGGCTCCAGGTGGAGATTTTATTTATTACTAGGCTTGATTGGTTAGAATTTTTTTTTCTGGTTAGCGTTTTTTAGCGAGACAGACATGAGGAAAATGAACAAAAATTGGATAGAACTGGAAAGGTAGGTCCAGGACAGAGTGAGTTGGAGAATGCTGGTCGGCGGCCTATACTCCACTAGGAGTAACAGGCGTAAGTGAGTAACTAGACTTGATGCAATCGAGACGCTTTCATTCCAGATGAAAATATTTCATATTTCTTGAATACACTTTATATGACTTTTCCGTGTGTAATTTTATTAAATAAATATATTATAAAGAGATGAATGGATATGCACTATATATTTTTCAGTTTGAAGCGGCTGATCAACCCATCTCAAGATGCTCAACGTCGTAAAGAGAATTGTTTGAATGTATGGATTCAAGAAGCAAAGGGATTAAGTATAAAAAATAGGTGAGTAACACTGTGTTAATAATTCTGATCAAGTTAACACTAAAACGCAATCACTTTGTTTATGTTATAAGACACTAAGTTTATGAAATAAGATTGTAAAACTCAAACCCACCAACAACGATCTTGTCACGATTTCACAATCAAGTCGGTTAAAAGTTCGAATTCATGCTACGAACGTTGATTTTGTGAAATGAACTGGATTATTAACTATCTATTGAATCTAATTAATAAGAATTCGAGTGATTATCGATTTACATTCGTTCGTGAACAATTATTTATAAGTTAAAATTAATTTCTTTTATACAGTTAATGCCGCTAGGATTAAATTTTAACTTTTATTGTATTAGCGAATATTTTAAGCGTATTATCTGGAGCGGTACCATGCAACCCTCACATGGTTGCGACCCTGGTTCGAATCCTGTCCGGCCTACGGCTTTGCCCCCAAATGCCTTGATAGGGCCGAGGGTGGGGGAAAGTTCACTCTCCCTCTCGAAATGCTATCACATGGCCACGCGTATATAGCCGCTGCCAGGGAAGTCCTATTCATTGCTTTCCTGGGGCGGGGGTGTTGTTTACGAAAATGGGAGGACGAAAAGCGAATGTCCGGCACTAACCGGGTTGATGGACATGGAGAGTCCACATAGGGGAGTTGGAAAACCTTGATTCCAAACCAATGGTGCACATGGGCTCCAGTATCCTGAGTGAACAAATGGCGTATGAACCAATCGTTGGTCACCGGCTACCATGGGAGTGCATCTCCTTACGTTGCTCCACTGCCTTGTGGCTCATACCTTTAGGTCGAATGTTCCGGGCATGCGTCCGTAAGATAAGTACTTGCTTCGGTTTGGGCACTCGGACAGTATCACAGCCCCCACACATATCAAGTGAGACTTGTGTGGCATATGTATTTGGTGCCTCCTTGTACCAATATTTATGTGTTCAAATGAATAAATAAATAAATACCAAAGTGAACTTATAATCATACTCAAAATTGAGATTAATCAATGAGTCCTAAATAGAGAGGGTAGATAGTCGTCTCTATTTCTGTATTCATGTGAAAAAGTCAGGGAAACTTAAATTTTTAATGCAAACAACGAAACGATAAAAATGGCTTCTCAGATGGTGGAAGAAATAGTTTGAAAAAAACCTCATTCAACATTTCAACCGGTAATAAGAAGTAAATTTCTGACAAGAACGTTTCACCATATGATTCATAGAGTAGAACTTTTGAAGTTTCATGAACATTTTAATTTGTGACATTCTTTTTTTCACCATTCAATCCCTTTTTCATTAAGATATTATTGTACAATTTTGGTCAATGGTACAATCTGTGCACGTACAACAATCAAACAGATGACAGATATGTTGTTCTGGGGTGAAGAGTTTGATTTAAGGTGAGTTAAATAGTTGTTGCCTTCAATTTAAGAGAAATTTTACTTTTTATTTAACTCTTTAATGGTTTTTTAAAAAAAGAAAAACTAGAGTTTTTCTATAAGCAAAGATGGATAGTGGCCAGCAGTGGAATCCAGGACGCGCGTTTCTTCCTGTTTGGGACTCGTCAGCTGGATGTACCTGCATCTCAGAGTTGATGTTCACTCTGGGACTCGAACTCAGTACCGTTCGCTTCAAACGCCATCGCGTTATCCACTTACCTACTGAGTCCTGATAGCCACTTGCTCGTGCAATGGGTTGACGTTTAATTCACTTCATATTGTTTTACTTGAATCTTCCCATTGAGGCAATATCGAGGCATACGCACAGTATGCACATATGCCAATAAGAGACTGATCAATTTCAGTCCAAAAACATCAATGGGAAGATTCAAGTAAAACAATATCAAGTGAATTAGAGTTTTTCTAGTTTTGAAATTTTTTATTTTAAATGTATTCATTAAGCCAGAATGATTAGAGCTATTAGCCCTACCGAGATTTAATGCATTATACTTATTCATTGTTGTATGTTACTCTTAATGGAAGAAGTAATCTTATATTTGTCGGAATAATTTGACTAGTCTGATTTTGGTCTACTGTATTAGTTAGTCAATCATAAAAATTTACGGATTATACGACAAAATAAAATATTTTAAATCTTTGATGATTGTCATTTTTTGTAGCCTTTCTAGAACGAGTAACTTACAGGTGCAATCTAAATTTCTATCAAAAGGAGTAGGTGTTTGAGGGTTGTCACCTACAACACTCATTTGATATTGCGCAATGTTAGATGATACAGGAGTAAGTTCGAAGAAAGCTAGGTAATAAGTCTTCTAATTGAACGCCAGATTTGGTTTCCTAAGCTCTTCTAGTAACCCTCAGGTGAAACCTATACAGCAACTTAAATACAAGAGAAAAGGCACGAAACATGGGAGAAAACGCTTTACTCCAGAGGTTCGTTTATGTACAGAAAATCTAGGGTATTTATATTATTTTAGGTGGACTTGGGTTTCTGGAAGTTTCTCGTACGCTACTAAACATAGTAGCAGTATAGCTAATCATCCAATCAGAAACTCGACATGTGACCTTCCACTTTCTAGCTATTTCTGGCAAACCTAGTGAATACTGGTTAGATAAGATGTTTATCAGCGTTTTCAGAGCCTTTTTCTGACTTTTTTTTCAAGGAATTTTCTAAATCTCCCCAACACGGGCCGTCCAAATTAAAACGTAGTATCAGTCCATCAAATTATTGATGGTTGATTGGAGCCATGTTAGCAGAGGTAGACGATCTGTCCGAAGTTAGTACAATAGCTGTGATTAGTGGTAGTAGTAGTAGTAGTAGTAGTAGGTAGTAGTAGTAGTAGTAGTAGTAGTAGTAGTAGTAGTAGTAGTAGTAGTAGTAGTAGTAGTAGTAGTAGTAGTAGTAGTAGTAGTAGTAGTAGTAGTAGTAGTAGTAGTAGTAGTAGTAGTAGTAGTAGTAGTAGTAGTAGTAGTAGTAGTAGTAGTAGTAGTAGTAGTAGTAGTAGTAGTAGTAGTAGTAGTAGTAGTAGTAGTAGTAGTAGTAGTAGTAGTAGTAGTAGTAGTAGTAGTAGTAGTAGTAGTAGTAGTAGTAGTAGTAGTAGTAGTAGTAGTAGTAGTAGTAGTAGTAGTAGTAGTAGTAGTAGTAGTAGTAGTATAGTAGTAGTAGTAGTAGTAGTAGTAGTAGTAGTAGTAGTAGTAGTAGTAGTAGTAGTAGTAGTAGTAGTAGTAGTAGTAGTAGTAGTAGTAGTAGTAGTAGTAGTAGTAGTAGTAGTAGTAGTCGAGGGGG